GTTCAGGGGTTTAGGGGTTAGGTTTTAAGGGTTCAGGGGTTTAGGGGTTAGGTTTTTAGGGTTCAGGGGTTTAGGGTTGTGGAAGTAGTTTTGCTAATTTGCTTGTTCAGGTATCCATGTTATGCGGCTTCCGCACTGGGGCATTGGGTCCTGCACCAGTCTAGAGTCTGTAGGACGTGTTCGTTCTTCTTTGCAAAAGTCGTAACATGGACGTCAGGAAACTAACTTTACCACTGTTAACTTAACCCGAAACTCTAAACTCCAAACTCTACACCCTAGACCTAAGCTCTAAACCCTAATCTCTAAACTCTAAACCCTACACTCCAAGCTCTAAGCCCCTTTTAAAGCTCCTCATTAGCAGCGTGTGCCGACTTGCAGAACAACTCAAAGGCCACAGCCTCAGCAACTTGAAGGCCCCAAAGAAAAACCTAAGGTAGACGCTTTAATAATAAGAATAGGGCTTTGGGTTATGTTGAATACTATATAACTACAATAAGGAACCCCAAAATAGTAGTGGTAAACATTCAGGCTCTCATAGTAGGGGCCTTGATAAATAGAAACAAGTTTGGGCTCCTTTTTGTATAACTATAATGAAGAACTCTAAGGAATAATGTAGGTACTTATTTAGGCTATTGGGGGTCAAGGTAAACCCTATAGGCAACGCAGCAAAGGCAGGCTAGCGGAGGCTTCTTAGGATATCTACGATCCGAACAAGGACCGGCTCAAATGTGTATAGGGCTCACCTTAACCCCAAATATATACAGACACCATACTAAGGAACCCTAAAAAGGTAGGTGCTTTAGGGTCCAGGTAGGCCCTAAGTACGTAGTTGGGGTTTAGGGTTTAGGGCGCGGAGATTGGGCTTATCGGGCTCAGGGGGTTTAAGGCCCTAAAGAATTAGGGTTTAATTAGGGTTTAGGGCTTGGGCTCACAGAGCCCTAAACCCTATAAATCCTAAGCCACTACACTTGGGCTTTCAGGCCCTAAACCCTGAACCCCTATAATTAGGATCCGGTGAGGGCTTTTGAAAGGCGTGTTTTGCGACTCAGGGCTTACGGGTAGTGGTACTTCCCGCGCGCTTTATGCGTCCGCCTCAAGGAGCTCGAAGAAGAAGGGGTTTAGGGGTTCGCTTAAGGGTTAGGGTTCAGGGTTTAGGGTTTAGGGTTTAGGGTTCAGGGTTTAGGGTTCAGGGTTTCGGGTTCAGGGCTTAGGGGTTGGGGTTTATGAAGGTTCAGGGAGTTTCGTTTAATCAGAGGGATCTAGTGTTTTGGTAACCTCAACTTCATGAATTCCTGCACAAGAACCCCTAAACCCTAAACCCCAATCCCTAAACCCTAAGCCTAAACCCCAAACCCTAAACCCCACTCCCTAGACCAACCCCAAACCTCAACCCTAAACACCCAAAACCCTAAACCCTAAACCCCTAAACCCCAATCCCTAAACCTTAAACCTTAAACCCCTAAGCCCCAATCCCTAAACCCTAAACCCTAAACAATACACCCTAAACCCTAAACCCTAAACACCTTGAAAGACTCCAGGCCCAAAGTCTGTGCGAATGCCCTTGGACCTAATGTAGGGGCCTTAATAATTAGAACAAGGCTTTGGGGGCTCCTTATCATAATTATAGTATAATATACCCCAATCCCTACTCTAATTATTAAGGGCGCCTATAATATATTACGGCAGGGCGGCTTCAGGGCCGAAAGTGTTGGGGGCCTCAAGACTTAAACATGGGGTTTAGGGTTAGGGTTTAGGGTCTGGGGTTCATGGGTTTAGGGTTGAGGGTTTAGGGTTTAGTATTTAGGGTTTAGGGTTTAGGGTTAGGGTTTAGGGTCTGGGGTTCATGGGGTTTGAAGTCTAGGGTTTAGGGTTCATGGGATTTGGGGTTGAGGATATGTGCTTGTATTACTGTATAAACAGAAGCTTGAGAAGAATAGGGAATGGGGTAGATTAGTGTGCAAATATATGGGTAGTTCTCTAAATTAGGGTTTGCTTTGGGGTCCTTTTTATAAGGGTGCCGCACTCTGTTGGGGACCTAAAAAAGGACCCTAATTTAGAGAATTACCCATATTCCGACACGCGAAGGACTACTTATGCTTGTGGGGCTCGAGTCTCTAGTCGACCAGCCCCTACAGCCGAACACCCTTAACGACGAAAAGAACCCAAAAAGTGGGCCCTATACCCTTATACTATGAATCCCTATATGGTATATGAACCCTAAACCCTTTTAGGGCTCTTTTCGTCCTTAAGGACTGAGAGAGATCTGAGACCCGGACACGGAGGTCCAAGCTTTGAGCAATCTTCCCAAAGGGTCCAAGTACCATTATAGTAGGTACTTAGTAGGTACTTGGGCCCCAAAAGTATATACTATACTATTACTTGGACCCTTTGGGCTTCAGAACCTTACACCATTCACATCTGAACCCTCGTCCTAAGGGTCCAAGTACCTAAAAGTCATATACTCTTCTGAATACTAACCTACAAAACCACTATCCGTAACCCAAGTACATGATTATTAGGTCCTTTGGACCCTTAGGGTCATGCTATCACCCTACACCCTGGATGCGGTGCCTCGTTGTGGGCAGGTGTGGTACGTCTTCAGGCAGGTATCCTCAGCGGTCCGTCGGCAGGGGCTCGCATGTTTTTTTTTTTTTAAAGGGGTTTAAGGCTTAGGATCATTGCTTCAGGGTGCTGCGGTTCGGCCTCTACGAATGTAGGGGCCCTAATAATTAATTAGAAAAAGGTTTTGGGTGATATTATACTATACTTATAACAAGGAACCCCCCAAAACAGTATAGGTATAGTTCTTAAAGCCCCAAGAACGACATGTCGAGCTTTCTTCTAGTCTAGGGTTTAGGATGTTAAGTTTGGGGCTTGCCATCGCTGAATCCCAACTGCCCTAAGCCCTGACTCGGTCTACCGTGCTTCCCGTACATCTAAACCAGAAACCTGTCGAACTACGTAGTAGACCACTCTCTTCGAGTCATGTATATAAACGCCCCTATATGACTGTAGGCGAGCTTTTGGGGCCACAGACTAGACGCTCAACCCCCAGAGGGTCGGGTTCGGGGTTTAGGTATGGTTTAGGGCTTAAGGCTTTAGGGTTTAGGGCCTAGGGCTTAAACTCATGTGGGCTTAGACTCACATTATGCTCTGAACCCCGAGTGTTTAGGGTTTAGGGTTGCGAGGCTCAAAGACAAAGGAGGGCGCCAAAGATGTGGCAGCTCCTGACGGTGGCTTTAGGGCTCTCAACGAGCTAGGGCTGCAGGGTCAGATTGTCTTACTTGGAGGGTCGGGGGACTTAGCAAGTAGTTATTTTTATAGAGTTATAAGTATCATAACCCCAAAAAGGATCCCCATTAGGGTACTTATAAGTCTACTTACTACTCACTTACTTAGTCCCCCGACCCCCCAAGTAGAGCTTCGGGTTGGCCAACTCACGCGTTCGATGCATCGGGATCTGCTCTAAATTTAGGGTTCGCGATTCAGGTTTCGGAGGGTTCAGACGTAGACATCTCCCCCAAACCCTAAACCCTCAACCCCAAACCCTAAACCCCAAACCCGGGTTATTTAGAGTCTAGGGTATAGGTACTTTGGATCTCAGGATATACTATAGGGACACATGGAGTTTTAGGGGACGTAGACAAGTGAAACTCAAAACCCTAAAACCCTAAACCGAGCGTGCGGCAGACTTCGAGCAGGGGTCGTCCATCGTCTCACCCTCCTGGCATCGGAAAGGTCGAAGGGTTTAGGGTTTAGAGGTTCAGGGTTAAAGGTTCCGGAATTAAATTAGGGACTTAGAGGCTTGAGGGGTTGTTGCGCATTGGGTTTCAGAGATGAGGGCTTCTCGAGTCGATGGTTCTTATGCCATGGACCGGGGCTTTACGTCCCCGAGGACTTAAGGACTTAAAGGGTCCAAGTACCTAATTGTTTTGCATACTCCTTGCAAACCCTAGCATCTTCCTCTTCTTCGATGTGGTTGTCAAACATAAACCCTAAACCCAAACCCTAAACCCAAACATTATTAAAAACATTACCGATTGCTTTCAGCGCCATCCCACTGAGACGCGCCGTTTTCTTCACTTATCCTACCTGTGTAACGCAGTGGATTCCATGCATGTTCCGATGCTGAGGACGAAGTCCCGTCCTTAAAAAAACACCAAACAACAAGGTTTAGGGTTTAGGGCTTAGGGCCGCGAACCCCAAAACCCTAAACCCTTGAACTGTTAGAATAGGGTGTTGGGGCCCATTATCCCAAAATCATAGTAAGGAACCCCCACAAGAGTAGTGGTAGTTGGGCCCCTATATGAAACCCTGAACTAAAAAACTGGGAATCATATGGCCCTCTTACAGGCCTTTATCGTTGGCATAGGGTTCTATAGGGGATTTTGGAGGTGGTATAACCATGCTTACTGTATGGGGACTATACGGGGATGTTCTACTCAAACTTTCAAGCATCTTCAAAACCAGCCTTGACTTGAAACGAAACAAACATGGAACCCGACATGAGCTGTGATTTTTATTCGTGTTTGTGTGGATGGGAGTATTTAAGCCCTTCCGCAGGACCCTTCCGCTTGCTTCCGCACGCGAGGGTTTTGCTTCCGCGGGCACAACTTTCAAACCGCTTCCGCGGATCCCTTCCGCAACGGTTGTTTCGCTGAGTTTGCGGGGCTTGCTTCCGCAAGTGCGGTCTCGAGTCTTGAGGAGGCCATTTGTTTGAGCAAACCACGCGTGTAGCTTCCACCACCAACAAGGATGCAAGCTTACATGAAACACGTGCACACAGAAGCAAACCTGATGAGGCTTACAGGTGGCTTTCGGCTTCGGCTTTGAAACCTGGGAGGGTAGGGAAGTTCGGCGGTTCCAGTCCATAGTTGGGCTTAAGGCCTTCGGGGTAGGGAATTACAGTGGCTTTCGGGTTTCAATCTTAAAATCCGGCTTAAGCACTTGGGGGTATTGAATTTCGGCGGGTGTCCAGTCCACACTTGGGTTTAAGGCCTTCGGGGTATAGGGAATTTGAGTGGCTTTCGATTTCAATCCAAAATCCGGTTTAAGCCCTAGGGGATATTGAATTTCGGCGGGCCTCCAATCCATAGTTGGGTTTGAGGTCGTCGGGGTCGGGAATTTCAGTGGCTTTCGGATTCCAATTCAAGATCCGGTTTAAGCCTTTGGGGGTAGGGATTTTCGGCGGGTTTCCAACCCATGATGTGGTTTAAGGTCTGTACGACATGTCTCTGCCGGCATATCTGCTCGAAACGAGGACACCGGAAGTTTTTTTCCTCTAAACCCTAAACCCTAAACCCTAAACCCAAAATCCTAAACCCTAAACCCTCAACCCTAAACCCTAAACCCTAAATCAATTCGCGCACTCTGAGTCGGAGGAGCGGCTGCTGGAACCAGAACTCGAGCTTGAACTAGACGAACTTCTGGATTCTGAAGCAGTGGCCTTGAGTGCAAGAAGCTGCCGTCTCTTTTTGGCTGCTTGTTTATGGCTTTGCTTGGCTTTTGCTCGAAATCGCTGCTGTAAAGACGTGGTGCGGGAATCTCCTCCGGCAGCTTTTTGATCCCTAAACCCTAAACCCTAAACTTGAAACCCTAAACCCTAAACCCTAAACCGCCGCGTGAGTTCGTCTTCTTGACCCGGCTGTGGCCCCGGATCCTCCCAAGAACGAGGCTTGTCGTAAAAACCACTGCGCCATGCAACCTGCCGGCTGAGAGCTGCTTTCTGTGATCTCGTAGGACAAGCGGTCTGGACTGGAAATGTCAGAGAACACGTGAGTGGTTGTCAAAATTATGGTCCCTTTTTGGGTCCTTAATATAATACGGCACCTATTATTTAGGGTACCCCAAAAGGGACCATAATTTTGACAACTACCCACGTGGTTCTGGACTCGAACTCTGCCATGGTGCTTAGCATCGATGACAATCCTTCCAAACACGAAGCTACCCTAAACCCGAAACCCGAAACCCTAATCTCTAAACCCTAGACTCTAAAACCCTAATCTCCCTAAACCCGAAACCCGAAACCCCAAACCCTAAACCCTAAACCCTAAACCCTAAACCCTGATCTCCCTAAACCCTAAACCCTAGCATGAAACTATGGACTGGACTCGAACCCCGACCTAGACTGAACCCTGGACTCCGGACCCCCTTTGCTAGATCCAACACTCCAACTCTTCCCCAAAGGCTTAGTTTTTTTGTTTGAGGGCCTTTTTTGATGTCCGCCTTAGAAAGGCCATCAACAAAGGCTTAGGGTTTATAGGGCTTGGAGCCCCAAACCCAAAACCCTGAACCTTAAACCCTAGAAACGAACCTCGGATCACTACGGTTGATGGTATCAATCCTGCATTACCCATAAATAAGCAAATTGCCATAATTCCCGCAGTTTGAGGTCCTTAAAGTAATGCAGGATTTATATCATCAACAGTCCAGACCCCCAAAAGGATCTGAAAAATAGATCCCCTAATTAGGGACCCTAACTACTAAAGGGTACTTTATTATAGGAACCCCCCTTAGGGGATCTATCTAAACCCTAAACCCTAAACCCTAAACCGAAATCCGCTCCTGCAAGCAGCTGAGCATGGTCCCCTGGCATTCCTTGCAGGGCTGCGGGACCCCACACTCCCTCCTAATGTAGGGTTTAGGGTTTAGGGTTTAGGGTTTAGGGTTTAGGGTTGCGGGACCCCACACTCCCTCCTAATGTAGAGGCCTTACCTTAAGGACGAAAAGAGCCCTAAAAGGGTTTAGGGTTCATATACCATATAGGGATTCATAGTATAAGGGTAGAGGGCCCCTGCTTTTAAGGCTCTTTTCGTCGTTAAGGTAATGATTAGAATAGGGTTTTGGGAATTATTTCGGCCCCTAAACAAAACCCTCAAGCCCAACCCCTAAACCCTCTCCAGACGCCTGGCCACTGTGGGGTTTCGTCGGGAACTCTATTGAGTCTAGGGCTTAGTCAGTGTCTCGGGCAAAAAAAGGCAATGAGCTATAGGGTTCGGGGGCAAAGGGCCCTAAACCCTAAACCCTAAACCCTAAACCCTAAACCCTAAACCCTTGGAACTTGAGAGGATTTTGTCAGGGGGTTTAGGGTTTAGTGGGGTGACTCTCGGAAGACCCCCCTCTGAGAAGCACTATTGGAAAACATGCTCCTGAGAAGATTCTGGGTTTCATGCTTCAAAATCCCACACAACCCTGCACAATTTAAAATTTAAGAAACCCCTAATTCTTGAAGGTACTGATATTATGGATGCTACTGCTTTGGGGTTCAAAGACCTCGGGGGTTCTTAACCAGGCGCCTGCGCTTGGTATGGGATTTGGGAGCTTGTAATATACAACCCTAAAGCCATATTATGACAGGGTTAGGCAGGGACTCAGGGAGCCAGGGGAGAAGAGGTACACAGTGAAGGCAAGAATCCGACGCAACAACCCAGCCCCAAATAGCCGTAACCAAGCCCTAAACCCTAAACCCCAGGCCCTAACCCTAAACTCGAAACCCTGAACCCCAAGCCCTAAACCCTTAACCCTAAACCCCCAGCCTTAAACCCGAAGCCCCAAGCCCCAAACCCCAAACCCTAAGCCCTAGGCCCTAGACCGTAAACCCTAAACCCTAAGCCAGGCCCTAAACTAAACCAAGCCCTAAACCCCAAGCCTTAAACCCTAAACCCTAGGCCCTAAACCCTAAACCCTAAACCCAAGCCCTAAACCCTAAACCCTAGGCCCCAAAGCCCTAGCCCTAAGCCATCCTAAAGCTGAGTTGCCGGAATTCTCTGCGCCGACTGCAGCTGGGCCTGGCTCAGGAACAACTGCTGCCTTAACGACGAAAAGAGCCCTAAAAGCAGGGGCCCTATACCCTTATACTATGAGTCCCTATATGGCATATGAACCCTAAACCCTTTTAGGGCTCTTTTCGTCGTTAAGGTGAAGGGCACAGCAGTAGGGGTTTATAAGGTTTAGGGTTTAGGGTTTGGGATTTAGGGCTATAGTAACCCTTACCCTCAAAGGACTCATAGTTCAAGGCTTTGAATTGGGCCACAGACCCTATCATATAAGGTTTTGGTCTATTTTGATGCAAAGGGTATGGGTTTAGGGTTTAGGGGAGGGGTTTCGAAACCAAAATGGGTAGTTCTCTAAATCAGGGCCCCTTTTTGAGTCCCCAATATAGGGCGGCACTCTTGCAAAAAGGGCCTCAATAGAGACCCTAATTTAGAGAACTACCCACATAGTAAGGGTTGCAGGTTTAGGGCGTTTAGGGCTCGTAGATTATGAGTTATAATGGCATACCGTTCGGGGTCGAAGCTCAGGGCTCATATTATGTCTGGCTTCAGCGTCTAGGGACCGTGCTGTCTTCTTGGATAGATGCAGTTCCAAGCGTGCTACGGAGTTCGGAGCAAAGCGTGTCAGAAAGTGAACGCACATATGTTGGTAGGTGTACATGTGAGGTCTCGAACTGCACCTTGCAATAAAGGCCCTTGCGCTGACTGCCAATCAAAAATGTGCGAAATCGTCATCCCTCTGGGCTTTGATTCCTGTCGCATTCGTTTCTTTAACCAAAATCTTACACTTGCATTGAGATGACGATGACCAGATCTCGGAGGGACTCCTCCCTCACTTCCCCATGTCACGTCAGCAGAAAACCCTAAACGCTAAACCCTCAATCCTAAACCCTATAAACCCTAAACCCTCAACCCTAAACCCTAAACCCCGGGCTCAGGGACCAGAAGCGGGGTCGGAGTCTCTCAAGCCTCTCTACCAGGGCCGGCGGGGGAGGTGGCTCAGCTCAGGGTTTAGGGTTTAGGGTCTTGCCAGCTCAAGCTTCTCTATCCATCTCCACGGTTTAGGCTTTAGGGCTTCTCGGCCTCCCTCCATCATGTAGGGGCCTTAAGAATTAGAATAGGGTTTGAGGGGGCATATTCTACTATAATAAGAAGAATAATGAGGAAACCCCAAAATAGAATTGGCAATTGTTGCGGCCCCTCTAGTACATTGCCGGCATCGACTCTCGTCGTCACCGTCGTCCTAAGCAGCTTCATCTTTGACAAATGGTGGGAAAACACACACCACACGCTCAATGCCCGACATCACGGGGCTGAAGATAACTTCTCGATGATGGCAAGACATACCTTTGGAGAAAGGCCGGGCCTGTTCCTAAACCCTAAACCCTACTCACAATTTCATTCCATCCAAATGGGGTGCTCATAGCGTGGCGCACCGGGCGATTGAACGAGTCTTGCCGTTTACCATCGAGCGTTGCTCGCTGTCGTCCCGGGACACAGGGCCACGTCTGAGTTTAGGTTCAGGCTTTTGGGCTTTAGGGCTTAAGTTTAGGGGTTTAGGGGGTTAGGGCTTTGGGGGTTTAGGGGTTCCCTGATCCCTAAACCCTAAACCCCAAAAGGGGTTTAGGGGGTTTGGGGTCGAGGGGGTTTTAGGATTCATGTGTGAATATATCAGGTCAAGGCCATGTTGCTAAGCTTCAGGGTTTAGGGGTTTAGGGTTTAGGGTTTAGGGTTTAGGGTTTAGAGTCAGTGCTTAGAAAAAAGCGCCCTCACAGGGCCCCGGCCAAGAGGACGGGTGTCACGACTGCAACCTGGGCACGGTAGAAATGAAGAAAACGCCTAAAGTCCCTCACCAAGGAATCGAGCACGCCTGAAAAGAAGGGTTTAGGGTTTAGGGTTTAGGGGTTTAGGGTTTAGGGCTTAGGGTTTAGGGTTAGGGTTTAGGAAGGAGGAGCAGATGGTGGTCTTGCAATGATGTGTACGAGGCGCGCATCGGATCAATTGGGGGTTTGTTAAGGCAACCCATAGGCCCTAAGGTAGTTCCTGTTTGGGGCTCATATATAAAATCCTATAAGGTAACCCCAAAAAGGAACTACTATGGGGCCTATGGGAATGCGAATGTTAATACGGTCAGGGTCCCTTAGACAACGCTTGGGCTCGTAGTCCGTCATCAGGACATGTCCTGAAGCCTCCAAAACTAATGTAGAGTTTAGGGTTTAGGGTTTAGGGTCTAGGGTATAGGAATGTGCAGATCGATCCATAGTGTAGTCTGTCACTTGCGTGCACTGCTCGATCTGGCTCCGCTTCTACATGGGAGTATCCGAGACTGAGACAGATCCCAAGCTACAGGATCTTGGGCTGCAGTTTAGCCCAAAAGCCCTACACCCGTAAACCCCTAAACCCGCAAACTCCCAAACCGAAAACCCCTAAACCCTAAACCAACAAAAACACCAAACACTCATACCCTACACCCCCCCCCCCTAAACCCTAAACCCTAAACCCTAAACCCTAAATCCTAAACCCTACACCCCGAAACCTCGAAACCCTAAGAGACGGTTAGAAGGTCGGACTCTCGGAGTCCCCAAACCCCCCAAAACCCTAGTTACAGGGTTTAGGGTTTAGGGTTTAGGGTTTAGGGTTCAGGGTTCAGGGTTTAGGGTTTCCAAGCTCCCCCCAAACCCTGCAAACAAAATCCAGGATTTAGAGCTTTAGGGTTTAGGGGTTTAGGGTTTAGGGGTTGAGGGGTTTGGGGTTTAGGAGTTTAGGGGTTAAGGGGTTTAGGGCTTCGGGGTTAGGGTAAACTTCCTAAACCCCCAAGCCGGAATACAAGCTCCTGAACCGGCCTGAAGCGATCGCCTGGGCAACCAGGTCCAAACCATGGGGTCGTCGCCCTTTGGCGACACCCACAAAAGGCCTGCGAACGGTGTAGGGTTTAGGGTTTAGGGTTTAGGGTTTAGGGTTTGGTAGAGAGTCAAGTTTAGGGTAGGCCCGCTGGGTTTGGGGGGTGCATTATACTACAATTATAGAATAACGCATACCCTAAAACAGTACCTATATAGTCTGCATTGTCATTCCTTTCTGGTGTAACCAAATTTTAAGAGTAACCCCAAAAAAGGAACTACAATGGAGGGATTTGGGGTGCTAGGAGGGCCTGGCTACTAGAAGCACTCCGGGGGGCCAGGGTTTGGGGCTCTAAAAGGGTACCACCAGGGCTCCCTAAGAGTAGGTACCATGTAAGAGCTCATACCCAGACCCCCAAAAGGATCTAAAAAATAGATCCCCTAATTAAGGGGGTTCCTATAAAGTACCCTTTGGTAATTAGGGGCCCTAATTAGGGGATCAATTTTTTGGATCCTTTTGGGTGGCTGGGTAAGGCTACAACTAGGGCCCCTAAACCCTAAACCCTAAACCCTAAACAGAATGGTGGTGTGAGGGTTCTTCCCGCTCTTTGGGCTCTGGGGAGTGTCGGTGCTTTCAGGCTTTAGGGGGTTTAGGGTTTAGGGTTTAGGGTTTAGGGTTTAGGGTTTAGGGTCTGCAAGCTTTGGGGCGCTGGCTAGGGCGTTACAGCGAAGGGCTTTGGGGCGGAATTTCTAGGGTTTTCTTTCGGGTTTCAAGCCGGCCTTGCTGGGGTCTGATTCGGGAGTTTACGGTTTGTGGCCTACCTATAGTCCCCATTGAAATTCCTTTTTTGGGGTAGGACCCTCAATATAAAACTGTGGTTAAACCAAAAAACTACAATGGAGACCATGATTAGGTAAGGTGTAGGATCTCACGGCACCACAGGAACGAAAGCGAGATTAACTTACCGAAACTGGACCAACTGGCCTTTTCGATACTGGCACTCCACCGCCGACAGCCCCAGCATCACCGCTCCGAACACGAAACCCCGAATCCTAAGGCCCGAAATAACCCTGGTAGAGAAATCTTGCTGCAGTACTGGCGGATTCATTGCAAGCCCCCTTTCCCACTCAGAATCCTGGCACTCCTTTCGCATAAAAGTGGGGGAAGAAAACAATCCGCTAGCCAGGCCCCGGTAATTTGAGTCTCTGGGCACTGCGCTACTGCGCAAGAGGTCCACATACAGGTGACCTACTGGGGGTCTTCCCATCTATAGAAAAAATCCGACTTGCATGGACACTCTCATCTCAAAACCTGCAAACTGCAGCCCAAATCTCGTTAAGCTCTACATGGGGGTTTCTGAAAATAGGGGACCCTAATATAGTACCCTAAATAATAGGATCCTTCACATAAGGACCCCAAAATAAGGTAGCCCTAATTTTTCGGAAACTCCCACATGACCGTTAAAGGAACCCAACAAGGAAGTCTGAAGCCCGCAAGTTCCGTCCTGAAGTTTGCAAAGGAAACGGATCCGGACAGCCGGACTGAAGAGCAAAACGGCGACGGCACGGGCAGCAAGGAAGGAAGTAGAGGACTTTGATTTAGGGGCGTCGATCCTTCGACTAGGGTTCCGGCAATAACAGGGTTGTATAACAATCATGCTATAGGGTGTTATAGGGTTTGGATGTTGGGTATACTGTAATAGGTTCATCACAAATGCATATTACATAGACAACAGGAGCACAAATCACAACAACTATCGAAGCTTCTATACTAGAGGACTTTATCTATTTTCTTTGTTCAAATATCAATGAGCCTTGTAATTCAGGCCTTAATGGGCGCGGGGGTTAATTGGGTGACAGGGCTTTAGACACCAGGCGTCAGAAGGAAACTCGAAAAGTAGGAGTTAGGATTAGGGTTTAGGGTTTAGGGTCTAGGGTTTCGGGTGTAGGAGTTAGGATCAAGGGGACCCTTTGGGACATAGACCCTCCCAACTCCCAACAAGGTCTTTTTTAAAAGAGAGCCAGAAGTAGGGTTAAGAAGGGTCCCCTTTAAGGGCTTTCCCGAATACTACCAATCCGAACACAGCCCTAAACCCCTAAAGCCCCTAAACCCTAAACCTGAAGGTGAAACTAACTGCTATGAGACCCAAACGTGCTCCAAGAGGCTATGGGAGTCCTTACGGGTTTCTTTAAGGGTTTAGGGTTTAGGGTTGCTGTAAGGGATCCTTTAAGGGTTCGTTTAAGGGTTCCTTTAAAGGGTACTACGTACTCCACTACGGTTCCATAATCGGGTCCCCTTAGAGGATATTACAAAAGGTTCTAGAATCGGGTCCGCTTAAGGGTGCTATGCGGTTCTACAGTCGGGAGCTCTTAAAGGATCCGTAAACGAGCCCGGAAGGGAGCCCTTAGAGGAACCCTCGGGGATGCAAGGCTTTCAAAGCGCAAGACGGCCGCATTTCTAGTGGTCGGTGAGACAGCCCGCGGAAGGTACGGGGTGACTGCTTGTTGCTGCTGGGGTTCAGGGTATAGTGCACACGGTGCTGCTCGCTTGCTGCATTGGTGCTTGGCTTCGTATCTCACTTAGAGGTATTAGGAAGTCTAAGTGGGCCAAGGGTCACGGGCTGAGGGTTGTAGGATGTCAGTGCTTTTCTTTCTCGGGGGTTCTTCTGACCTACTCGTAAGTTGGGCCTTAAGAACCCAAAACCTACTTTTTTGTAGGGGCTCTTAATCCCTTATTAGGGATTAGAATAAGAGCCTACAAAAAAGTGGGTTTTGGGTTCTGAAGGAGGTGAAACAGAGCTACAAATTCAGGCGACGTCAGCCGGAGTTGCGCATTTCAGGCACCTTTGTTCTTGTCCATCCTCGGCTGTTCGTGGTCGTTTTGGGGTCCTTTAGGGTTTGCTGCTGTCCTACTAGGGGTCTAGTGGTTTAGGGTTTAGGGTTTAGGGTAGGGGTCTAGTGGTTTAGGGTTTAGGAACTGGGGCTTTAGGGTTCAAGTTTTCAGGCTTCGGGTAAAGGCTGGCAATGGCCAATGGCTGAGATCAACTGCAACTGGAGCCCTCAACGCGCAAAAGCACGGTTCATAAGTGTGGTGTATAATTGTATCCCTATGATACCCCTTCTATAGAACCCTTTAACAGAATCCAGCTTCAATGCAATATATAGAACCCTCTCAGGGAACCCAATATCTACGTACGTGGCATGAAGCGCAGCATTGTCCGAGTGGTCGCTGGACGGGACCCGTCTCACTGGGATCCCCTCTTCTGAAGCTGTTTAGGGGTTATAGGGGTTATAGGGTCTAGGGCTTCTAGGGTTTAGGGATTATAGGGTTTAGGGATTATAGGGTTTAGGGATTAGGGTTTAGGGTTTAGTTATACCGTCAAGGGTTTAGGGATTAGGGCCTAGGTTTGAGGGCTGAGGGCTCACGGTACAAGTAACCTTGAAGAGTTTGGCTCTC